AGACAAAGTTGTGAATATCTAATTCAGAGTGTAACAACTAAAGACTTCTCTGAAACTTAAGAAACTATGGGCTACTCTGAAAAGGTCTTTGAGAGCAATGCATAACAAATATAAAATAATTTGCTGATATTTTAAAAGAACTTCCAAAAAGCTCTTATCCCTGTGCTAGCCTGGGAGTAAGATCCATTCAATTCAACTTTTGAGTAGATAAAACAATTCAGAAACTTCGCAAGAATTGCAGTGAGAAATTAGGTACCTGATCCAAGACTTCTTTGGGGTTTTCTGCCTCCTTCTTCAGTTTTATGATCAGGCCTTTCGGTGGGATCAAGATCTGAAAAATACATTTTTAAAGATATTAATAAGAAACCATCTTGATTAAACTTTCCATTTTATTTCTACAGAAATTGTTCCCCTGGTTAACCTGATTAGCTTCCAAGATCAGACTGGATCCAGTGCCTTTTAGAGCAGCCTCCAAATGCAGAAACTAGCCTCCCAGCAGGCTGAAAAGAACCTATCCAGCCCCTGAGATCGATTACCTTTGTGTACTGCTCAACCAATTTGGTGAAGTAGTTGAAGAGGCTATGTTGAGGGCGCAGGAAATCAAACTGGTAGTTCCTCTGCTCCTTCTGCATCAGCTGTGTGAGGAACTGCCTGCCATTCCGAGCTACAAACTGGGCTGTCAGTTTGACCACATCCAAGTCAAAAGCTGAGATCGAGGGAGGGTCTGCAATGAACTCAAACTCTGGTGGAGGCTCCTTTGGAACCACAGTTTCCTGGATCACCTGGGCCTGGAGCTGTGGGAGAAACAGAGAAAAGGACGACCCCGAATTTATTTTCTGCCCCAGTTGAGATGCAGAAGTCACACAGGTCCCTGTGTCCACACCTTGTAATGCAAGATAGACCTACTGCTATTGTCATTGCCTTTTGATAAAGTAAAGGACATCTTAAAAGTGAGTCTTCACAAATTCATGGGTTTCAAGCCCACATTCTTAGTAATGGCCACCCAGTGTTGGCACAAATGCTAACAAAAAGGCCAACAGAAAAGGTGAAAAAACATAGCATCATCGCAAGGAGACAACATCTGGGGTGGGGAGAATAACTTACCTTTTGTGGCAGCTGCTGCTGTGCACTCTGTTGGACCTGCATGACCTTCGGAATGGCGGCTGAGGGCTCCTGAGCTTTCCCTTCCTTGAACTCGTTGACTTTGTGCCGGTAATAGGCATGGTAAGGATCATTGGGGTTCAAGAAGTTGAATTTGGGGTTGTTTATCTCATTCTGGCGGATACGGGCTTCAAACTCAGGGCCGTTCCTGAGAAAATGTACAACCAAAGTTAGCACCCAAAGCAAAGCAGTTCCCAAAAGCCGTGAAGTGGAGAACATCCCGTCCTCATGCCAAATCATTCTTTTAACTTCGCACCCCCATGCTTAGGTTGCCAGAACCCTCCTCTTCATTCATCTCTAAGACGATGCTCCAGGTGTAAGCAAAACCTTGAGACGCCATCACTAATTCAATGACTTACTGTATAAACTCGCATATAAGTCTAGGAAAGCTGGTCATAAAATTGACCCCCCCAAAAAAATTCCTAAGTCAATTTATGTACGGTTCAACATAAGTTCTGTACTTTAACTCTCATTTCAAAAAAGGAATCCAATCACTGACGCCCTTTACTCTCTCATCCATCCAGCTACTAGTGTGAACACAAACAATTATGCTTGCTGAAATTTTGCAAGTTCTTTGGCACAGTTTTCTTTTGCTTCATCCTTTAGATCCTTTTTTAAATGCCCCTAGGTTTTACTTATCCATGGGTCATAACAAAATCCTTAATTTTGGCACCAAAGCCTGCCTTAGATTTATACATGAGGTTGACTTATAGTTAGATGGTATTTAAAAGTTCAAATTAAGAATCCCAATTTCCCTTTTAGCTGAGGTCAGACTAGATGTTCTCAAGGTCTGATTTTTCTATAAATGAAATTTTTTTCGTATTTAAAAGTCCAGAGTCACTGAACATCAGGAAACTGTTCCTAAATGAGAGTTCAGCCATACTGATGGTGGGGTGAGCACAGTAAGAGTGGGAACTGACCTTGGCCAGCCTGGTATGCTTGAAAAATTGGTCCAAAACACACTGCAGAAATAATCCAGTTTGAAATCACTTTAACTGCCCTGACTCAATGCTAGGGAATGCTGGGAACTGTAGTTTTGTGAGACATTTAGCCTTGTCTGTCAGAGAGAGCTCTGGTGCCACAATCAATTATCAGGATTACCTAGCAGTGAGCTAGGGCAGTTAAAATGCTCTCAAACTGGATTATTTCTGCAGTGTAAGTTGGATCCCAGATGAATTTTGTGCATGGAACAAGCAAAGGAGAAAGCAAAGGTGTCACTGTATCTCAGCCACCCACGGGGATGATTCTGGAATATTTCATAACGCAGAAGGGAGAGTCAACCTGTCTAGTTTTCCACACCTATTTCATTGATTGGAACCCTGAATAAAATAATATTTCTGCAGTGTATTTTGGACCATTGCTGAAGCTCCATTTGGACCTAACTGGGTTAACCTTCTTGGAACGAAAACCAGGGCACAAATGGCCCACAGCACCACCAGTCATTTTTCTTACTGCCTTTCAGGAGGTCTGGGTGGGGTAAGAGTTTAGCTGCAGATCCTTGTGTAGGAAAAGATGGGGATGCTCTCAGCAGCACAGGTACACTGACTCACCTGGCCACGAAACTGGCTGTCTTGTCCACAATATTCCTAACTTCAGGTGGAGGATAAATGATCCCAACGACAGGCTTAGCAGGTGCCGCTTCTTCTTTTGGTTCATCTTCAGGCTGCAGGAAGAGATAATATGGCAAAGTTTGAAAAGAACAGTGGATACCAAGGAGACATGCTTTCTAGATTGTACAGTCGGCCCTCGACATTTGCAGCTTTGACTTTTCCAGATTGAATTATTTGCAGATTTGATTAATATGTTCTCTCTAGGAATCTCTAGGTCATCCAGCTCAACTCTGCTAGAAGTTGACCACAGAGTTGTGCTGGAGAATCTAGAAGTTCCTAGAAAGAACACTTCTCTAGGCATTTGTAGGTCTTCCAGTGCGATTCTATGGTCATCTTCCAGCAGATGTTGACCATAGAGAGGGTTTCTCTCAGGTAAAAAAAAAAAAGTATTTGAATTTGTGGTCTACACAGGAGTCCTAGTCTCGGTATCAAATTCCCCCATCCCACAATACACCCTACAATACAGAAATACCAATCTATCATGTAATTGTATTTGAATTATAACACCCTAAAGCAGCCTTCCCCAGCCCAGTGCCATCTGCCACGGCTCCAATCCTAGAGAAATCCTGGGATCTATAGTTTTTGCCAGGCACCACAAGCCCTATAAGGCTGCAAAGATTTCTGTAAAATTACAAATCCCAGAGATTCCAGACACGGATGGACCTACAGTACTTTAAAATATAGGAATGGAGCTGCAGCATTTTAAAAGGGTGTCCGAAATGTATTATTTCCTACAGCGTAAATGCAAACCCAATTTTTGTTTTTGAGGAGAAAGCGGGCTATTACTACTACCACCACCACCACCACTACTACTACTACTAATAGTAACAACGATGTCCCTGAAGGCCTTCTTCCCTTGAGGGAGGAGTCCCACCTGCTTCGCCTCAGGAGGGGCGGCCTGGGCAGGCGCCATGGCCTGGACGGGGCCGGCCGGCATTTTCTTTTCCTTTTTCCTTTTCCTCTTCTTCTTCTTTTTCTTCCTCTTCCTCTTCCCCTTCCCCCTGTCTTTCTCCTTTGGGGCTTCGAAGCGAGGTCCCTAAAATCAGCGACAAAATGGCGGCTCCTGAGGGAGGATGCGCGCGCAGACAAGAAGAGACGCGGGGGAGCAGGAGCCTGCGTCAAAACAAGCTAAGCCCCCTCCCGGACAATGTCGGATGCGCGCGCAGGAAATAGGGAGGAGCCACGCCCCCTTAAAGATTTGGAAGGGGAGAGAGAGAGAGAGAGAGAGAAAAGAGGGATAGTCACGCCCCCTTGGTGACGTTAGGAAGGAGGATGCGTGCGCAGACCAGGAAAGCTAGCGAGCGAGAGGAAGGGGAAAGGAGGCGGAGCCTGTAGAGCTTTCCCTGTTGCCATGGCAGCAGAGGCCTAGCGAGCGGGGAGAAGTCAGCTTGGCGGTGATTTTGGGGCAGGTGGGTTCAGCTTCCCACCTTGGGTCCAGCCTCTTTCTCTTTCTGGCTCACGCCTTTTCCGAAGTCAGGGCTCTTAGTTAAGGGTGCCTCTGAGCATGGGCAGAGTGCCTTCTTCTCAGCCATTTTCTTCCTTCCTGCACATGCGGTCCTGATGAATTTGTTTAAACTTTTAAATTAAGGGTCTTAAATCTACTACACAGTGGGAAAACAATGCAGTTTGGCAACTTCTGGCCCCCTCTTGGATTTCTTACAGGGTTTTCTTAGGCTAGGGATCTCCCTCTGAGATGGTTTGGCCACTTCCTTCTTCTGAAATAGAGCCTCCTGCACCTGGGATTCCTGGGTGGGCTCCCATCCAAGGACTATCCAGGGCGGATCTGCTTAACTTCCCAGACCAGAGGGGAATCTGCTGCTGCCTCTTAGGGCATTTAGGCTGGAATATAATTACAGTCATCCACTAGCACAAAGTTAGTCTTATATTACAAATGTTCCCAATGGCATATAGCAATCAGATAGTTGATCAATATATGGAATTTAAACCATTTAAAATTCAATCAGAAGAATGGTTTTTTATAATAACAATATTATTAATTTCATACATAAAAAGTTAATATTTAAACAATAGCAGCTATTACTAGAATAATCCAACACTCGGGTAGCATTTATGTATTGCCAGACTTATGGCAACCTTCAGGTCATTTCAGACTTATGGCAACCATAATGTTATCCTGGGGGTTTCTTTCTTTGTTCGGATGAGGTTTATCATTGCCATCCCCTGAGGTTGAGAGAGTGTGACCTGTCCAGGTCACTCAGTGGCTTTCCATCGCTGAGCAGGGAATCAAACCCTGGTCTCCAGAGTCCGAGTCCAACGCTCAAACCACTATGTCACACTGATTCTAACCCTCCTATACTGTATTGCAAAAATCTTTTTATTGCGAAACACATTGCAAAACTCAATGAATCCTCCTATACTGCATTGCAAAATCTCTGTGCACTTTAATGTGCTACTCCAGAAACAACTCTCCCACATGTGCACCTCCTGTTCACACAGCTGGGCATGGCTGCTGGGCATTGTCAAAAAAAAAAAAAAACCCCAAAAACCGTGCCAGACGTAGCACAGCGTATACCTGTGTATAGGCTGCAGGTACTTCTCTTTCCCCCGTCCCTGGGGCTCTCGTTCTCCATGCTCCTTGACTGATGCCCAGATGGATGCACTCATGTCTTTCCTCTTTTCCAGGAACATCTCTTCTGAGCCGCCTTCCCTGTCGAAGGGACGCCGCCATGGTGGGTTTGCCGGTTAGTCGAGACCGCATGGAAAGCCTGCAGGAGGACATAGTTGATCTGCAGGGGATGGTCGTGACAGTGTTCTCCCAAGCAGGAGCTGTGCGATACCCTTCCTGGAAGTTCCCCGACAAGATCTCCTGCGATCTGGATTTGGTGCCTTTGCTAGATCGTTACGGGTTTGTGGAGAACAACCCTGAACTCACCACACATTCCCACATCGTTCTCCTGGAACTCATTATTGACAGGTGAAAAGATGCAAAATTTCCAGAAGTTGTTGAAGCCATGGAGAAAAACATTTTTTATTTTTGTAATTCTGTTTATTATAAATTTTCATTAAAAATATTGCTAAAAATTATACATGCTTATCTCAACCAAATATCAAATATACATCCAATGTAACAACTGTATTCCACATAGTTTACATGCAATCTATATAACTAATAGACATCCTAACTAACATTTCTACCTCACTGTAATTCTTCAGACGTCGCTTTTTCGTTCTTTACTTCCTTGGTGACTCCATCTTCGAGTATTTTAGTATACTTTAGAAAATAATTTTGTATATCATCTTACTATCCTATTCTGGTATCTCTGCTTCTTCTTGTTAATAGTAAATATTCTGTCCTTTAAATTTCATCTCTACTTTCGTGTCTTCTGTTAATTGTAATTTCCAAACAAATAGATATAGAAAGAAAAAGTGTTAATTCACACCTTCTGTCACTAAAACTATAGTGAAAACCCATTTTTTTAAATGGGGGGAAAACTAGATTTTTCTAACAATTGCAATATTAGTACACGTTGTGTCTCTCTTATCTGAAATGTTTAGGCCTAGAAGTGAGAGAACCAGCATGACATTGTGGTTTGAGTATTGGACTATGGCTCTGGAGGCCAGGGTTAGCATTCCAGGTTGGCCATGGAAACTGACTGGGGGACTTTGGGCAAGTTTCACTCGCTCATCCTCAGAGGAAGGCAACCCCTCTGAAGAAACTTGCCAAGAAAACACTATGATAGCTTTGCCTTAGGGTCGCCATAAGTCAGAAACGACTTGAACAATGAAATATCTTGGAGATGGGACCCATTTATGTTTTTTCATAACTGCCTTTGAGTCAATCCCAGCCCATGGCGACCCCAATGTATGAGAGACCTCCTAGTCACCCTATCCTGCTCAGCTCCTGCAGACTCGTGGACATGTTTTATATATACTTTATACACATAACCTGAAGGTAACTTTATACATAATATTTTTAATGTTTTGTGCATGAAAGTATCCCTTACCCAGAATTCCAGGATCCAAAAGTGTCCTCCTAAGTGGCTGAGAGAGTTACACCTTTTGTTTTCTGATGATTCAGTGTACACAAGCTTTGTTTCATGCACAAAACTATTTAAAATATTGTGTATAAAATTACCTTCAGGTATTTTATAAGGTATAACATAAGTCTGAATTACTTTCAGGCTATGTGTATGCAAAACATAAATGAATGTCATGTTTAGACTTGGATCCCATCTCCAGTATATCTCATTACATATATACAAATATTCCAAAAGCCAAAAAACTCCAAAAGCCAAAACACTTCTGGCCCCAAGCATTTTGGATAAGGGAGGCTCAACTCATAATTTATTCATCAAATCTTAGTGTTTTGTTTATCAGATTGTTTACCCCTTTCTGGTGTTTAATATAAATATAATGGGCTATTGTAGCATATTTACTGTTTGATAATTTGTCATTGAATTATAGGTTGTTTGGGGGTTTTCCTGGAAAACAACCACGTTGTTGAGTTTGTTTCCATTTGGTATTGTTAGCTGCATCTTTTTGGAAGGATAATAGGACACAGATCATTGAAATGAAATAAAATGGGCTTTCCTTTCTGTCTCAACAAAGATTGCTGCTGTTGCTCCAGAGCTTCACAGAATATGCAGGGAACTTGATCAGCGAGGAAGTTACACCACCATCCACTGCAACGGGACCTTCCATGTCAGTTGGGCTGGCAGTGAGGAAGTACTGGGAAAGCATGGTGAAAGTGGGCGCTCTCTACCAGCAACTGGCGAATGAGGTGGGTTGCTTGAGGGAAAGGCGGCATCTTTTCCATATGGAGTTGAGCCCCACAACACTAGGCTAGGAGGGCTCACTTCCCACCTCCAAGTGATATGTCCTTCCTCTGCAAGAAGGCCAAATTAATAACAACCTGCCTGCCAAAATTGATTCCTCTGAGAACCGTTCCAGGGTTCTGTTTTTGCATGCCTTCCTTCCCCAGTGAGTTTCTATCTGTTCCTGCACAGCCAGAGAAGTGTAAGGTTTCTCCCTTCTTTGGATTTCCAAAGCTGTGGGAACAATCCAAAAATATCCCATACCAAGCTGAGGGATAAAAACTTAAAGGTGATCAGCCATGAAAGCCACTAGGTGACCCTTGGCAAATCCCTCTCTCTCAGCCTCAGGGGAAGGCCATGGCAAACCTCCTCTGAACAAATCTTGCAAAGAAAACTCCATGATAAGTTTGACTTAGGGTCACCATAAGTCAGAAGCGACTTGAAGGCACACAGCAACAAAAACAAATGTTAATAGTTGAGGCTCATGGTTTTTTTTTTCAACCAGTTGCCATTGTACAACATCTGTCTATCCATAATTTAATTTATAGCCTGTTTTTCTCACTGCTGCTGCCAGTAGCCTTGGGTCTGGAATTGAGAAAAAGGTGGGGCATACATTAAATAAATGATTGATTGATTGTATTTATACCCCATTCTTTAGAAATGCTCTCAGGGTGCCTTATAAATTGTTAGTTTGACATTTTCCTCAAGTTTACAATCTAAAAAAGAGGTGACACTAAAAAAGAGATGGCAATGGGGAAGAGGATCATGTCCAGCAAATATTGCTGGTGCTTCTCTCACTCTGACTCCATGGCGATGGAAGTTGGAATGGAGGTTTGCCTTCCTCCCTGCCCATCTCACTGCGATCCCCTGAGCATGAGCAATTCAAATTTGGAAGCTGATGTCACCTTTTATTCTTCCACGCCTAGAAAAAAGGCCGCAAAGACAGAGCTTCCATTCCAACGTGTTCCTCGCAAGCGTCCCAAATTGAGAATGTGCGCACAAAAAGCTCTTGTTCGGAGCGTTCAGAGTCAGACGTGACCATACTGGGTCTCCAGGCTTCCTCGCTAGCCTTGTCCACTGGCAGTGGACTGCTTTGTGGTAACCCCTCTGCCCGCTTTGAGGCCAAGTCCACCCCTGGCCCTGACAGGCCTGTCCAGAGCATCCCCTCTCAGATGGCCGAGTTGTCCCCGGTGCCTTGCGATACCTGCGAGAAGTCCCAGCTCAGCCTCCGGGAAGTGGGCCGTGCCATCGTCAGCATCTGCACCAGTCAGAACCTCCCATCGTCTCTAAGCAGGTTCCTCAAGATGCTGGAGGAGACCCTCGAGCGCAGACCCCTGACGGCCGTGGACATAAGTTACTGGGCCTCAGAGCAGAACAAGGACCTCTCCCGGATCAACAAACACCTCCAGGCGCTGACGGAACTCATCACTCCTTTGAAGGAGGAGCTGGAAGCATCCCAGGAGCAGAAGGAGGAGATGAGGAAGCAGATTGAGGCCTTCGAGGGACGTCTTCAGAAGGAGAAAGAAGCGCAGGAGCAACAGAGGAAGCAGGCAGGGCTGCTGTTTGACAAAAGGCACCAGGAGATCCTGCAGATGGTGGCCCAGCTGGAGAAGGAGAAGGAAGACCTGCAGAACAGTGAGCAAAGCCTCTGCTTCTCTCTTTTTCTCCCTTTCAGCCAGATTTCCCCAAATGTTTGCTACCCAGCTCAGTTTGTATCAGAGGTCATTTCTATTCCTTTGACTTCCAACATTGAGGACTGTAGCTAAGCTCAGAGGGAACAGGACAACTGCCAGGCAGTGGTGGATCGTTGTGCCTCCATCCTCAGCAGAAGATTCTGGCATTTACACCCTGCAAACCCAGGCCCAGAGATGCCATTGCGCTTCCTATTTCCCTCGAGGGCCCAATCCACAGCCACTTTCCCTCTCCCAGCATGCATAGGGATCTTGCAGCACCTTTGAGACTCACTGAAAGAGAGAAGCTAGTAGCATGAGTCTTCCTAGACTTGAGCCTACTTCCTCAGATGCATCAAGTCTACTTGAATAGACTCAAGTTTACGAAAACTGATGCTACAACTTCTTTCGCTCAATTAGTCTCAAAGGTGCTGCAAGATCCCTTTGCACAGTGATGCTCCATGCTTAACACTGCTATGTCTCTGAATTCTCCCTCTTCCAGACAGCCGTTCCTTTTCCCCTGCCCTGTTAGGGTTGGGGGAATTGGTGGCAACTCCTGATATTGCTGGACTACAGGTTTCCTTCTTCCTCACCTGGGCCAAGGTGGCTGGGTTGATGGGAACTGGAGTCCCACAGTAGCCAGAGGCCACCAGTTTCCACCTCTGTGTTTGCTGCTTTGGTGATGGTAGTTTCTACTGAGCTGTGTACCTCTTGACATCTTGCAGATGCTGTTTCCCTCAATGAGACCATCTCCACCTTGAAAGAGAAGCTCCAGTCACAGGGAGCCACAATCCAAGAGCTAGGTAAGACCAAAGAAAGATCCCATGTCAACTGCACACTCCAAGATACAAAATTC